CTCTTTTATTAAGTTCAGGTGACACACAGTCAACACTAGTGCTTTCGTATTTGCTTAGTAACAGCCAGTTTCTTATACATTAATTTGTCTTTCTTAATCAGCAGGCAAATCAATTAACTCTATGTTGTTCATTTGAATTATTCACAAAAATAATCACTCAATGAGACACTGAAGCATATAATCTCGGTTTAATCCTTAATGCTCAGTTTTCAATTTTCACTTCACTAATCACTAGTCACTTTACAGAATGAGACTCTAGAACATGGAACTTGACTTAATCCTAACGTCTAGCTCTTTCTCTTTACATTGATAAATACTACTATACAACTCTTGTCTTACTCTTCTACACCAGCCACTAATTTTTCAAATAACTAACTTTTATGATTTATCCTGTTACTCCTGAGTCACCACTCTCATAAAAAACTTGCTTACCTGACACAGCAACAGCCAGTTTATTGTTTTCTCTCTCATCACACTCAACACAGTCTACTTATGTGAAGACACAGAAGATATGCAATCTGCCCCAGGAGGGAACAAATATGTTAGATATAGGATCCCAGATGGATCCGAAAGACAGGGACAGACCAGCCACTGGATGCTGTTGATGTCATCACAGTGCATCCTCCATGGAATGCACTTCCATCTTTCACCGACTGCCAGCAATTCACAGTTCCCGATTCATACTAATTGTCATTCATTAACATGTGGTTGCAAAGACAGTAGAATATGGTAATACTGCCAAATATATAAATATATTATATTTAGATCCTTAATATAGTTATTAATTTCTTTAGTTATGCAATTCCATATCATATTCCCTATTAAGCAAATTCTAAAAAGTACACATTTTCTTACTGGAATAACAACAGCAAATCATCTGTGCGTATCATCTCCAGGTCATCCAAAGCTCTGCTTCTCACCCAGTATTTTATCTGCCCTTTATAAAATCGATGGTATTGAAATGAATTCAAAGTTCTATAAATGTCTAGCATTTAAACAACACTAAATTTTATCAACTCTAAACATTGCCTTTCCATTATGAATCATTTCTTCAGTTCAGCATCCCTCTTTGATTTCATATCTTACTCCGTTAAAGGTTTGTTGATAAGGATGTGAAAGTAGCAGAGCATTGCATTTTCATGGCAGATAAGATTTTTGAAAATGGTAATAAATTTCAATTAGCCCATTCTTTTTCTTACACCCCTCTTATATCTGAGGTCATGATTTTAATTGCTTTTCAACAATACACTGCAAAAAATGACCTATTGCAACTCTTAAAAAGAAGGAAAAAGTCCATGAGTTTAATATATTAAAATTTAAAGTATTTAAGTAATGAAATGTTTCTTTTATGGCCACCCACATTTCTACTATAATAACTTATGAAAGCACCGACAATCATTTCAGATTTTTTTTTATTTCTACTGTCTTATAATATTTTCTGGAAGAAGAGCAAGAAATTGAAAAAAAATATTGATATACAGAGCCATATTATTCAAGTTAGTCAGTAATTTGTGAGTAACTTCAGTATCTTATATTCATTACAGACAGCATACTCTAGTGGTCCAAGAATAACCAGGACTTCTCACCAGTCAAGACACAACAGTGGAGACTGGACAGACAGAAATACAGACTGGTGTGAAATTCCCGGTGCCACAGATTCAGAGATACTGCACCACAGGAGTCAGGAAGATGATAAATCAACTCAGCACACCCCAGGTACCAAAACCTATGTTTCACTTTGATAATGGGGATACAATTTAAGAAGAAAGAAGCTTCAATTATCTTGGATAACACCATAAAATACAGTACTAATGGACTTCTCATATAATTTCCCCATTGGCTTTGCATCACAAAATGGTATTTAGATTCTCAACAGATTGCAAGTAATTTAAAGATATACAATTTAAATATAATAATCTAATCTGACGTCTTAGGCTATTCAGGCTATATACTGTACATTGTTCACATGAATCCTGTCATAAAATGGAATAGGAGAGTAGAACATTCGAGAACCTGTCTAAGGTTTACAGAAACCAAAGTTCTCTACTTTGGCTACTAAGATTTAAGGACCTACAAAGGGGGTAATATAATATTGGTTGGTTAAATCCTGGAGAAGATTTAAGAACCCTGGAAGGGACAAAGCAATGTGGGTTGGTTACAGGTTAAGAGGTTCCTCAGTAAGGTAATACTAATAACAAAGTCCACCAGTAGGGGAACAGAAACAACATAATACAGTAGGTTACAAGCCAAGGAGGGAATTTGAGTAAAGGAGTAAAGTATTGAGGGTATAGGTTTAAATAAAATGATGAAGGTGAGCAAGGTGTGGGTCTTAGTTATAGAGACAGACATCCTGAAGTAGGGAATATCCAGGAAAGTGGACTTTAGTGGCTGGGTGGCTCTGAAGGAAGGTAGAACAGGTAGGTGGAGGAGCAAAAGTTAGCTCTCTCCAAGTGCTGGCTTTAAAGCTTAGGTGCTCCAGTCTAACCTAGGTTAAAGAAGCTGCATCTCTCTAATGGTAACCTTCCTTGGTGCTTAAAAAAAATTAAAAATTAGAGACACATTTCAAATGCAGTGTATAGGTGTACATTTAAACACATGTTGTTGAACTATTACTATTAGAATAAACATCAAAGCATTTCACTTGTAAAGACAAGAAAGAGAAAAAAACATTTGACACATTATTGATGCAAGAATATAGCTTGCACCAGACAACCACAACATTTTGTATGAATATAAACCTCTTGTTTTCAGTCCTAAATCCAAGCTATATTAATTTCCACTTGTGTCCTCGAGTCTGTATTTCACTGTTGGTGCTAAATTGTTTTTTTTCTTCAATTTTTTATACAGTAATTTATACAGTATCTAATCTAAATACAATTAATTAAACCCGAGTGTTTCAGACATCACTTTAATTCCAGGAAGTAATCTTGTTGCCATGATAGTATTCAGATCTTACATTCATATTAGATTAAATGAGTCAATCCAAATACTGTGTCACTCTGCAGTTACAGCATGGGTCTATCTTGATAATTAAATAATGCCGGGGCACCATGCTGCTTGGAGTCAAATGACTGCAGTGGAAAAGAGCTAAATATTTTCACCTGGGGCTATGAGTTAACTGAAACTGGTCTTTTCCTTGGAGATCTCCACAGAGATTAGTATTGATTCTTTTTTTATTACTTTGCAGTGCTTCTCCATTTTAATCGCATATTGTAGTCACAGTATGGAGTGTCATTTTTCTCGCACTTTAAGTGTATAATTTACTTTTTCGTAATAATGTCCAGCTGCGATGGTAGATAACAGCGTATAAAATTTTCTATACAGTGATTTGTTTTTTTGTGGCATTGATATTTGGGATCTTACAATGCAGAGGAGAGAAAGATTATTAACATACTGTATCATGCTTAGTTATGCATTGCTTGGAATTTATTCATTCATTTATTAATTTTGATAGATATTGAATTGCGCAGCTGGTAAAATGTCTTCATTTAAATTTAAAAAATGAAACGTATAGCTCATATGACTAACACTTATAGTAATACTTAGGGTCTCCACAAAGATAAGAAAACCTATATCAAGAGAAAGTTTTAAAGATACAAAATAAGAATGCATTTTTATTTTAAATTAATGTATTTAAACAGTGCCACATCATGTGATTCAACCACACCTCCCACAGGACCAGTCCAGGGAGAGGGCAAGCAGAGGGAGGCTGCAAGCACAGAGTGCTGGGAAAGAGCAGAGCAAATGGCCTAATGCTACAGGTATCATATGTACTGTACAGTATATATACAGATACAGATGTTTTGCATGACTATCAATTTATAGACTAGAATCTGTAACGTGGTGAAAGACATCTTCATCCAGTCATTTTCACATTCTTGTACTTCTGTCTCTGGAAAATCTGTCAATGCACAATGCATCAAAGAAATGTTTAGGGACTTTAGCTTTGCTCCTTAGTTGGCCTGATCTGAAACATTCTGGGAACACAGGAGCCTGACAATGATATTTCTTCTGTCTGAGGCTCAGAGTTGTAGTGAAGTTTTTGTACTTAATTATTTATTATACATTATACACTAGGTCTATGTGATGGGCTATAGTACATTACATAGACAAAACAAGCCTTGTCTAGAAGCAAAAAATACCAATATCAATGTAAAGATGAAGAATTATTATTAATGTTTTAGATCTAATTTATTGACTATTCATGTATTTTGTAAATATTTTATTTATGGTATGGCCTTCCATTGTTATAGAATTCTAAATCTAAATGCTTTTTTAGTGTTCTTTCTGAATCTTTAGGCATTGCACAGATTCAGCATTGAAAAAAAGGGCAGTTCCATAGAGAAATCAATCCTTACTCTGTGCAGGAGAGTAAATAGTAAAGGGGGTTTAACCCCTGGCAAGCTTTAGGAGGAAGCAGGATATCAAAAAGCACCTCTGCTTTTTTAATGACTCTGCTTTATGTTTTAAAATAGCAGTATACCTTCTGTTTCTTTTTATTATAGACTGGCATTAAAACTCTCATAACAAAACCTGTACATAAAGTATATGGGGTTATATTATCTAATACATGCTGTATAAAATAGCTATCTAATGATGGTTTCTTTGTTTACAATAGTAATTGCTAAGAAGCATAAAATGTTTTGTTGGGTTATTTTGGAATTTATGCTGTCAGCTTGCACCTCACCAGTTCTTTGACCATGTTTGTGAATATTTATAGTTTATTTTATACACAATCGTTAGATTTTGCCTCCTTCAATAGATTGATGTAAAACTGCATTAATAGCTTCATATTGGAGGAAAGTTTAAATAAGTTGTTTACATTATATGATTCTATATGTTTAAACATAATACAGTGTTAATGTTTTAAACAACTCTATATTTATGTTCTCTAATATACTTTAGAGATATTAATAAGCAACAGCTTTGAAATAATCTAAATGTGCAGTATCACTTTCACTTCCTTTTTGAAGTTAAATGATAATGAAGCTCATCATCATTGTTTTTTTTATTTTCTGGTGATCTCATAAATTTGTTAATTTCAAAATACGAATTTCCAATTATCTATAATCATCTTTAAAATAGTAACAGTCGTCTGTGCTATTGAAAATAATTATTGAAATTCAAATTCAAAGCAATTCAAATTGCATAAAGTACAGAAGAAAAAACAGAAATAATTTTTTTCATCAGGTAAGTGCTGTTGATTGTTGTTTAGTTTGATCTTTCTGCTCTTACCATAAGTTAACCTGCCAAAGTTGTCTTAGAAGCCTTAATTTGTTATTGAATAAAGTACTATGTCACCAAGAGCATTTTGTTTTTTGATTTTTTAACACGAGAAAGTAAATTACACATGTGGTTGATTAACCTCTTGTTGAATTATTATTCTGAGTTAGACAAGTAATGTCACTTCTAATATTGTAGTTTACATGCCAGCAGGTGTATAGAGCTTATACAAGTACAAATTGTTTTCCAGTGACTACAGAAGGCAAATAAATGAATATTGTTTTCAGTTTGTCAGCTTAATTTATGCATTGTTGAAATACTCATTAAAATGTTAGGCTGCAATTAGGAAACCTAGCATAAATCTATCTGTGAGGAGAAATTAATTAGGTGCTTTAGTGATCATTCTTGAATTTATCTTTTCCTGCAATATTGTGATTACGTTGTAATTTGCATATTTCCCTATGAAAACACTCATCGTATTTCATTGCTCACATAGAAGCTTGTTCAAGAAGTAAAGTGATAAGATGTTCTTTGCAATTAAAGATCTTTATTATTAATATGTGTCATAAGCCTCTCTTGGCAATGTATTTTTTTTTTCAAGAAAAACAAAAAGTAGAAAAGATTCTTTTCTACTTTACTTCAAGTATCATGGTAGCCTGTGGAAGGTTAGGTGCTCTCAGGTAAAATATTGATAACACGATTATACACAATGCCTTGAAAACGCAGTCTGACAGGTCTCCCATTTTGTGAAATTATAAAATGATACATACATTTTTTAAACTTTATATTTTATTCAAAAGCTGAATGTTCAATCTTAAAACTTTTCTATAGGAAATGTAAGTCACAGTAAATGTCAGCATAAACCATACAAAATCTGAATATGTTGATTGTTTATGCAGACTTTTAAACTCAATATTTGGTTAAAGCACCTTTGGCAGCAATTACAGCCACAAGTATTTTTGAGTAAGTGTCTACCATCTTTCACACATTCTTCTTGGCAGATTTGCTCAAGCCCTCTCAAGTTGCTTGGGAAGTCTTAACACAGATTATCAATAAAAATCAAGTCAGGTCTTTGACTGGGACACTCAAGGACATTCATTTTCATTTTCAATTTATATTACTTCTATATTATTATACTCTATGAAACTATAATATTCCATGCTGTACTTCCACAACCCTTCACGTAAAGCAAAATAGGAATAGAGAATAGGAAACACGTCTTTGTTCAGAGAGAATTATGTATCTGGAACAAACGTCCCAGCTAGGTGCTTGAGGCCCAAACTCTTGGGGGCTTTAAGAAATGGCTGGCCAAAATCTTATTATTAAACTACCAAATGAGCAAAATGGGCAGATCTTTCTTATGTGCTTAAAAATATAACAATCAGTCATCATTCAACAGTAAACCCAGTGAAGAACTGGTGATATTTTTCTCCAAGATAGTAGATAGTCAAAAAAGTTTAGGCGACACAATCCTAAAACAGATCCAGATATGAGTATTCTCATATCATATGATTCTGTTACTGCCTATGAGCACAGAGTACACCTTGAGGTGTCAGTGAGACCTGTTTAAAAAACATCTCTGAGTAGTAATATACTGTAAGTTCTGTGACCAAAATTAAAATGCATTAGCAGATGATCAGGGTATTTAGAGGCCACATTCACATAGTCCAAACTTCATCCCAAGAATTGCCTTTATTTACCAAGGTAAGTCCTTACCCAAAATGGAATGATTGCAAATTGTTTTGATAAGACCCCTCCTGTTTTTCTGCTCTTCCTATATTTATTACTCTATGTAGATGAAGTGGAAGTTCTGTGCCCCACTCAAATCTATAGGTACGGTAAATACTGCTGAACAAGATAGACAAAGAATGATGTACTGTACTTATTATGTTGGACCATGATTGCAGATTCTGCAATGTACAGTATACAGGTAATTGTATTTCGTGACATCTGATGATGTGTGAATTCACCTACAGTATATGAGCACTGGGGAAAAGCAAAGAGGTGTCAACCGGATAAAGGGCAATATTGGTAAATACAAAAACCACTTTGTTATGATTTTAGTGTTTTTCTTCCAAACGCCATACTGTGATCAAATGTATTTTGAATGTAATGTATCTTCTATTGTAGAAACTATTTGCATATCTACTATATCCAAATGGCAACTGTCTTTAATGGTGTGTTATTGCTCTGCCAATGCACAAAGGTGGTACAAAAAGTATATATAAACTATTTAGCTTTCACATTTGATTTCTTTTTCCCAGATAAATGTCTGTTCTCCATCCACTTAGAGAGCAGCTTTGTGTCTACAAAGTCTACAAGTCAAGTTCCAGTGCATTCCCAGCCTCACAGGTCTAGGGTACAGCATCAGCTGGATTGTGGTGACACAGAGGGCAGCAATGAGGATGAAGAAACAGAACCCCAGCTATGTCAAGTGGGCATTTTCACTTATTCTTCAAGGCCACACTCTGCACAAAAGCACAGAAGATCCCAAAGCACACCTGTGAAGAACTTCCCCTTCATATTGGATGAGAAAGGGGACAACAACTTGGGTCACAGGGGGGCTCGGTTGGAGGATGACTTCCTTGGCAGCAGTAGTGAGGAGGTATGTACTGTGGCTGCTCTTCCTCACTGGATTATATACTCCTTACCTTGTACAGTCCTAATGGGCTATGCCAGAAGAAAAGCAATATAAATCTAAGGTCCTCACTAGCTAAATTCTACACATCAAAATATTTTTATTTACTAAGCTGATTGTTCTACTAGATGTGGGAACATTTTTAATTAAATTTTTACTCTTTTTCTCCCTGAAAGAGTAATATAGGGCATTTCTTATCTCTGTTCAAGTGTTTTGGAAATTCCAAAGTTTATTTCAATTAATTAGCACAAATATTTTAAATAAGGCCATAGATACATATACTGTACATACAGTACCTTAAAAACATATTCACCCAAAGCTAATAACATCACATTTTCATAACTTTAAGTATAATGGTAGGTATTTAAATATAATGGTAATTATTATTTATATTTTTTTTTCCAATAAACGTGTTTATGTAAAGATCTAAACTTATCTAAACATAAATACTTGTCAACAATTTCTGTTGCATTTATATCAGGACTTTGACTGGACCATGATTGTTTCAGGTAATTTTAGTCCTACTGAGATCTGAACTTTAGACACAGTTTTAAAATCTTGGGTGACTCAAGCATATTGTCCACTAGGATTCAACTGTACTTTGTAGTATCTATTTTTCCACAGTCCTGCCAACATCCTAATCCCTGCTGAGGAAAGCACCCCATGATGCTACTACGACAATATTTGACTGCTGTGATAGTGTTGACTGGTTAAAGTGTCTGGCTTTTGTTCAGATTTTGAATTTACAAAAGTTCCGTTTTTATCACTTCTAATCATAGAACCATTTTCCATACGTGTGCAGTATACAGTTTCTCATATCAGATTCACCATAGAGGCCAGGTCTCCCCTCAGACATGGAACTTTCTAGATATAAGTTCACTGTTACCAGTTTCCTGCTTTGTTAGCTGCTCATTTGAAATACAGACTGATCTAAGTAGTATGTAATGCAGATTTCACTTCTTAATGATGAGCTTCACAATTCTTAATTCATTTCTTACTGCATTACAACTGTCAGTGAGATAATGCCATCCCTTTATATGCATACATTTTTAAATTAATAAGTTACTTTAATTACATATTTTGATGTATTTATATTTGTAAAGGTGTGTGTATATGTGTATATATTTATGTAAAATAAAGAGAGAAAAAATATAGACTTCACTGTACTCAAAAAGTACAGTAAGTTATTTTCTGATCTATGCCTTTCATAAGCTCTTTGGTCTTTACGGTCAATTTGTCTTATCAATATTTGAGTTATGGCTTGAATTTCAGTATCCATCTGAGGGAAATGAAAGAGAAAGATGTATTTACTCTGAAGTAAAGGTAAACCACTACTTTTAAATAATTTGAAATAATTTTGTGATAATACTGTCTTTAGCATTGGAACTAATTCACTGGGGTCACTGTAACAAAGGGGCTTAATACTTATGCAGGAAAAATGTTTTATAGTTTTCTTCAAATATCTAATTCATTTACATCCTACCAGAATTTTTAGCTTGGAGTGATTGTATAGATTCCCAATTTAAAGTCCTGTTTGTATATGCCAAGTGTTTTTGCAAGCTCAGACAACAACAAAATGTGTTAATAAAGTGTACTGCACCTCTTTAGGTGCATTTTACTCCAGAGATTTCATTGATGTTACTGTACTTCCAGTCCACTGTAGTATTATTTTACATAATATAACAATAAATTAAACTTCATTATTCAAAATTTACACTAAACAAGCCAGGACCTGGTGATCTGAGCTATAATTGTTTCTGTCTAAAGATGTCAGGAGAATTTACATACTGTAAATGTGAAATTAAAAAATGACAGTAATAAAATGAATAAATTAGTGAGCACCATGTTTGATCGTGAGAGTAGTTGGTAAAACTAATATGTTAGCAAATTTTTGAGTATTTTGACAGCTGCTGTTTTTTACATGGGGATTCTACAGGTAATAGAATTGAATTTGGAAATATGTTTGGGTTTTCTTGCAGCCTCAGTTCCAATAATTTGAATGTCTTCCTTCATGGTGCTTGTGTATTTTGGGTTCAGTAGGCCATGGCGATGCAAGAGTATTTGAAATCAAATTGAAAGGCATTCAGGCATACACATTAAACTTTCTAGCAGATGAGTTAAAGGGATTTGAGATTTAAAATATGCCACTAGAACACAGGTTTGTAGAGCAGACAGTCTACATTTTGAATTGTCTCAAAACAAGCGTTTGTCAAAAACTATTAGTAAATATGGAGCTGACAGATGCGTCAGCTCTGAATTGGGAAATTGGGGGAATCAAAATGATTAATGTTTGGTTGCTTGTATTCTAGTAATCTTTCTATTCACTTTTTACATACTGGCTGCCTTCAGGTAGGTAGCCTGGCCTGATACAATACAGCAGGTGAATCGGGAATAAACCTCTTAACTATAATGTGCTCAGTTTAAAAAAAATAAAAAGCCATGCAGACATCAACATAATGTGTAATATCTTCACAGTAGTCCCAAGCTAAAGTATTTTATTTTATTATACTTCAATGGTCTCTCATGATATTATACTGTAGGTTTTACTGGCATGTGCAGAACACGCCTGCTTAGTATCAACTTGCCCGTTTCTAACTGAGAAAAAAAGATATTATTTAAGGCTCATTTAATATTTATTAACAGCTGCTAAATAAAATCATATCAAAATTATGATCAGAAAGACTTTCAAGACCTGTAGATTAATTAAAATAAATGAACTTACAGCAACAAATTGTCTTGACTGGTCCTAATTTTAACTACTGAATAAATTATTCAGATTTAAGACTTTCATTAGTCTGACAGAAAAAATCAATGAACCTTAAAATCATTTAGCTCTTACACTTGCTTGGTAATGTTTAATGCATTCTGCATAATACTTTACATTGTATCTCACTTCAGGTCAAGGTTTGATTCAACTTGAAATACTGCATTTTTGTGTGACACCCGAAGAAGGCTCCCCAGCAAAAATGTTGTGTTTTCTTTCTTCTCTTTTCAGCATGGAATAAACCTATTACTTTTGCCTTTGCAGCCTACGCATGTTGACGCTGCTACCCACCTGAACTACTTCAGTTTTTTTATGTACTGTATTTAGAAATAGCAAAAAGTAGTGCCTTGTATGTGAGAAGGCAGCAGTAAAAATTGTAAGATTAAAATTGTTAAATTATGGCTTTGTTAGAAGATTGTCAGGTTCACGTTTCTACTGCCTTTCAGTTTCAGGTCATATTCCTGTTGATAACTGACTTCCAGTGTTCAGAACACAGCCTTACATACAGTATGGCACTGCAGGACTGCACATCAATCAGCCAGATTCATAGCTTCAGTGACAGCTTTTCTCTGCACTTTTACTTCTTCTGTGTTCAGCTATGTATATCAATTTTAATAGTGCTGAAGATGAAGAATAAAATATTCATGCATATAATAAAATATTTCTATCAAAATACTCTTTGGAATCAGTTGGCATTGCATGTTTCTCTATTGAATTTTGCATTGCAGCAACAGATGGTTTTTCTTTTTTGGCACACTGTTATGGCAGAAGCTTTACCAGCTTGTAGCCTGATCTTGTCAGATCTCATAAGCTAAGCAAGCCTAGACCTAATCAGAAGTGAGATGGAAGACATAAACAAATAGGTTGCTTCTGCACGTGGTGCTGGTGAACCAATATGTATTTTTTCCTTTGGAAAAAACTTCTTCAGTATAGGTTGAAGAAGTTCAAGTAGGTAGTTGTATCAGCATAGACTGCAAAGGAACAGGTAAAGGTAATAATGTTGAAAAGAGAGACAATGTTTCAGCTATGGAGCCTTCTTCAGGGATTATGGATTGGGGAAAATGATTACTTCATTTTCTGCTTATTGGTTCTGCATATAATAGAATCAAGATGATATTCACAAAGCACCAAAATGGAAATTGGAATGGAATCAGACAACAACAGCACTTTTTTTTGTTCAACCCCCCATATTTTAGATGAGCAAAAGTATTGGGACAAACTGACTTTTTCAATTCTTTAATTTGCTTTAAGTGTTCCAATACGTATGGTCACCTAAATTTGGGGGGGAACAAAATTTGCTTTGGCTGAAAAAATATTAATTGTGTTTGCAAAATATATCCTCAAAATTAAAGGTGGCCTCCTGAACTCTGACTCGGAGTAATTTGTTTTATGTGAATTTCAATTTCTTGTGTATACAACAGGAAAATGCCAATTTTAGTTTTTTGTCCCAATTCATTTGGAGGGCACTGTATATAAATTCGTTACAAATTTATATAAATTAGTTACAAATTTATATTATTTTAAAGTGATCTTAAATATTGATTATCCCTTTAAATATAATCGTGGAACTGTACTAGAATTGTCTATAAACCTAGATACTGTATCTAACATGCTAATGAAATGAATTTCCTTTGCACATTTTTTATATTCACATGATGAGGATCTCAGAAGATGGTAATTATGGAAGCCTGAAGTACATCTTAAAACCATACAGGTGTAAACTACAGTGCCCTCTCGAAATGCTAGTCTGGGTTCATATAACCTGGACTCCCAAAGGTTCCCCCTTGATTCAAGTAGTATAGGAATGTCTCACGTCTAACCCTGATCAGCTGCGTAGTGGGACTGGTCGTTTAGAATGGTTGACATAATGTTTCACACAGATAGGTCTGCAGTGGTTAATAAAGTTTGATGGGTCTCCTCCTATAAACAAACTGCTTTAATATCCTATTGAATGAAAAACATGGTATAAATACCAGGAGATATTTTGAATAACGGATGAAAATAGCTTCATGATGCATAGTCTTCTGTTCCCTCCTTGCATCAACCTTTTTGCTTTACCCTCGTAGAATGCATGTACATAGCCCTTCAAATGTATTCATACAGTAGGTCAGATAAATCTAATCACCGAAAGATTTCCACATTGGATGCTTTTTTCTATATATTATACAGTAATATTAATAGCATTACATGGATCTACTGTAAGTCATAATTGTGATAAATAATTTAATTCCAGAAAATATGCAGATTACATTTACAGGACATCACCACTGTAGTTAGTATTTTTTAAATTCTCTTCTGGCAGACTTAACACTGACTAAACCACTTTTGTAGTGTGCTATGAGGTTCTGGCACTTCAAAGGGGAAACTATTAATTTTCCTCAATAAACAATTGCTCTCATCCTTTGGTTTCCATTAGTGAACTGCCATCTTAAATTATAATCAGAAAAGCTCAAATGATTGAGGTCTAGAAATTGAGACGTACAGTCAAGAATTTTTATTCTGTTTGCAGTTAACCATTCCTTTGTCAATTTGGATATTCTGTATGCTTTGGATCACTGTCATGCTGGAATGTCCATTTTCAGCCAAGCTTGAGCTTCATGGAGAAAGAACCAGGTGTCTAGTGACAATGCTCTGGTATATGTTGACAAGGGGTTCAACCCGTTGCAAAACAATCCCAGAGCAGAATATTACCACAGGTTTGCTTTTGATGATTTTTTAAAGGATTACTTACAGTTGTGAATACATTTGACCCTGCTGTTTTCGGAATTTCAGTTATATACAGTATGATAAATCTTTTCTCTTTGAAATGCTATTATGTTTACCATATAACATTATTAGATTTTTTAAGTAATTCATTATCCAATCCATAACTCATTTTGCTATGATTTTATTTGTTCGTCTTTCGTTGGGGAATAAATCTATATATGAATAAATCCGAAGGGCTCTGAAAGTTAGGATTGAAAATCACTTGGTGTCTTCTCATCCCATGGTCATGCCTACAGTCTCAATCAAGGCAATGAATTGAACCTCATAAGAATCAAAGAGGACAAAGGATTCACCTCAAGTTAGTCTCCCAAAGGCATTACCAGAAGGCTGCACCTTTGGAACCCTATGTAGCATGGTGTGCACAATCATTCCCTACTAGTTTCCTATCAACTGAAAAACAAAACAGGAAAATTTATTCTGGATCTCAATTTAATGATCGCAAAGTTCACATTGTGGTGATTTTGCATAGACTAATTTGCATTGATTTCATTCAGAGTATTATTGATTGGGGGGAATGATTAGTTCATTTTCTGCTTATTGTTTCCACATATAATAAACAGAATCAAGATGATAATCACTAGGCGGTGAAATGGAAATACCTAATGCTGTTTACAAAATCTGAGTAGATTGTATCATGTTTTTTTCATTGTCACAGCTTAGAAGAGATCAGAACATTTTACATTTTGTTAAATGTATTTAAGGCAAAACCAGAAACAATTTAAAATACATTTAACAAATATAAATTAGTAACTAATTTTTATTATTTTCAAATAATCTTAATCTTAATATTGATTATTGTCTATAAAAATAGATATCTAACATACTAATAAAAATTAATTAACTTTGTACATTCTCATAATCACATGCTGAGGATCTCAGAACAACAAAGCTCTAGCTAAGCTAACAATATTTTCCTGATGTGTCACAAAGTTGGAAAATAATTTGCCTCCACTCAGTTCTACAAGTAGGACTATCAGACCTCTAGTCTTCCCAGTGTGTGTTATTCAGCTAAACAGTCTGTTGTACTGTTATAAAATTATTGTTCATATATTCATTTGCATCTTCTGTGAAGAAACATTATTCAGCTGTTGCAATGCTCACTCCTGAGGGAAATCAATTTCATCTTCAGGATACATATGTTCTGCTACAATTAATTAGGCCAATCTGATTGATGTTCCTGGCAGTTTTGCAGCATTTCATTTCTTTAAAGAACATAGTTGACTCCCATCTGAGTTCTTTATGCGTTGTTTTGCAAATTGGATTTTAAGTTTTTTTTTCAATTTAGAATCTATATTTAATTTTAATGAATAATGCAGCGTATTTTTAACCATGTCTTTTAATTTAATTTATAGGCTGAAATACATTTCATGGTAGGAAAAGTAACTAGTCTTGCGTTTAGTGCCCTTTTATATATCTTTATTAAATTACCTATACAAAAAATGAAAGTTAAATAATTTTGAGAATTCCAGCCATACACGCATTAGCTAAAATATTATTTTTATCTTGTGAAGTATTATAGAATATATCTTGTATTATGGGCTTATCTATCATTGTTTAAGAATTACAATTTATAGTTTTAGCAACATCAAATGGGTTATAATTTTAACAAGCACAAATATTAAATTTAGATTTTCTCCATTAAATATCCAGCTTGCCCTCAGGTTTGTTAAATTAATGTAATATTTTCTGTTTCTGTATACTATGTATTTATTATGTATTCCTGAGGAATGCTCTCATTTACAGCCTGTGGAATTTTTGCACTTAGTATTTGAATGTATATAAAATTTTCATAGATCTGGCAACTTGTGATTATTTATCATGAGGACAGTGTAAGAAGTTGACTGGAAAAATATTTGTCAAATATGCTAGATTTTACATTATTGTGGAACCAAAGGGAAGCCTGCTGAGAAATGCATTTTATTTTCAATTGTTGTGTTCCCTATAGCAAGATATGAATTAGTTTGTAATCAGTAACAAATTTACATTAGATTGTTAATGGAAAAATGTAATTGTTCAGGACTGTAGCTGCTGACTTTAAAAGACAAACTTATTTCTGACAGGCAATTAATTAATAACAGACAGTTACTGTAAATCTTAAATAGAGTTTTTTTCTTGTTTCTTGCTAAATGATGATGGATAAATGAAGGGAAGATTGTTAAACCCTATGGGAGCATTATGAACTTTTACGAATCCTTATGTAAAATGAATAGCCACTGGATGTAGAATATTGTACAAAAAGTACGAAACATTTATTTTTATCATTAATTATTATTTAAAGGCAATAAATTAGTACAATTAAAATTGAGAACAGCAGTTCTTTATTTACATCCTGAATATAACTCAGTTTTTATTTCCATATTGACCCCTGTTTTTCCTGAAACACTAAGGAACTCACATACACACGAGGTTTGGAATCTGATTGACATAAAATTCCACATCCTAGTTATGAGAGCAGTAAGGGGCGAGCTCCATATTTAACCACAATTCAATTCCATATCCTTTTTTTCCAAGAGTTACAGATTGGATCTATATTGAAAGAGATTGCTTTCTGCACAGAAATGTTCCAGTATCAATGGCAGTACTCTTTAACACTGCCATCTCACCCTCTAACTGAGGCCATGCTAATTGGTACGTAATGATAAATACAGTATGCATACAACAAAGAGTAGGAATATGTAAGGTGTAGCTGGAAGGGTCGATGAGTCTTGTCAAATGTGCTGTGTCAACAATTCAACTCCTCAGGTGTCTCATCAGCGCGGTTATCTTTACCAAAGTGGCATTCTTCAAACCAGAAGTGACAAGCTAAAGATGAACTTACTAGAACATAATTGTCAGTAAAATTATTGACTAAAATAGATACACCTCACCATAAGTGATGCTCTAATTCTTTCAGAGATAACCCAAAAGAGCCTATTGTTTTTCCGAGTATTATGTCTCCCATAGGACACATATTTCCCTCTCAATTTTTAAAACCGAATTAATTTAAGAACCTAACTTGGTTAACCAGATGTTTTTAGTGGAAGTAGTGGGTTATAGATTATCCATTTAAAAATTCTTTCTTGTGACTTGTTTCCTGGCATTTAACCTAATTAAAGTATTCATTTAAAAGTGTGTGGATTGTTCTAAATAGAATATAGGTTTTAATTTCTTAAACCTAGTACTTATTTACCAAAGTAAGTTTCAAATTCCTGTTATTTTCTAAAATTGCAAACATCACATATGTTACTCTAAATAATGTTTTTACGTTGCTAGTCAAAAAGTAATCCAGGGTAAGCAAGCTATAGTGTAATATACTGTACATGTACAGTATATACTGTATAGTATATATATAGTACATATATAGTATACATACTATACAAGGATGGTATAATAAATTCCAGCACTTGGACATAAGTGCAAACACCACAGTTTGGCCTACATAAACTATTTGGGTGAATACAATTATTTAAATGCAATTCATATAGTGTATGTGATGTGGATGAAATGGATTTAATATATATGTTTATTTTAATTTCCATTCCTGTGAAAGATCCTGGATGGATAGTACTGGACTCTAAAATGATGTAGCTATTCACTTTGATGACACGATAAAAGACAAGCCAGTTTTATCCTCAACGCTCTGTCTTTTAATCTCAGGGACATCGTATATACTCTAAAGAGTATCAAGTTGGCCTGAGTTTCCTAGTTCATCAATATTTTGACTTTTATCTTGAGGAGGCATTCAGACATGTCTAATTGAATGTTTGAGTCATATTTCCAGCAGTCAAAGCTGATTCAGACAGACAGATTTCACTTGTGACCTAAGTCAGGTTTCAGTTCACTTCTCCAGAGATCAAAGAGGAAGAATTTAAAAAAGCTCTTAAAAACCTCTAAAACATTTTTCAATTTAGTATTAGGTATTCCTCCCAAAATTTTTCAGAGAAATTTCATGAAATTTAAATCGATTTTTATGACTCTATATTATGTATATGCTGGTCTTTGCTTTTTAAAATGTTAGTAAAAATTACTTGCTTTTAATTTCTTATTTTTCTTAAGATAAAAAGATACATGCATGCTTTAAATATACTGTACATTAATTGGAGGAACAAAATCCTCATTTTCTCAACTGTGATTAATGAGCTTTATAACCCCTTTTCCTAACATTTTCCCTTGTTTTCAGGATGAGGTCCATTCAAGATTTATTGTCCAAGATCCCCACCTCAGATCAAAATCCAGCACATTGCTATCACTAATCTCAAATGAAAATTGTGAGCCCTGTGCACAAAGGATATCCTACAGTCCTCATTCAACAGAAGGAGAATCATTAAAAACTAGACCAGCAAAGAAAAGTATGACTCTGGAAGATCGTTCTCATTTGCCAAAGTCAAGTAGAGGAAATATGCATACTAATACAATTCCAGCCCAAAGCCTTTCTCCAACTGGAAGCAGGAATGGACACATACTGGCTGCTAACACAATTATTAGAGGCATCTCAGAGGATCAACTAAGGACCTCTCTGAGCAGAAAATCACTTAAAGAAATCTCACAGGATGACTCGAGATTGAATGCAGAAAAAGTAGTAAGTTATTTTTTTCTTAATGAAATAGCAGTTGCAATTGTTAAAAGTAATGGCTGAGGTTGTTAGCCAGGATTAGGATTGTTAAGGTACTCATGGATTGGTACACAGTACAGAAGATGATGATTCATTTTCACTGAATTTGTACTGCATTTTTTCAAAATGATTACACTGGGTTTTGCAATTTTGCTTGAAAACTTAGTAATGTGTCATAACAGATCTAGTATTGCACTACTGATTATTCCATTACATTACTTGAAATCCCTGAGAAATACACATTAGAGATGTAAACAATGTATAAATAATGTATTATTAAGAAATTATGTAATTTATGAATTAAAAAAAGATTTTCCATCAATCATTGATCAAAAATATTTAACTTTTTTCAGAGATTTTCAGATTAATACCAGCCTTATATATTAGAATTAACATTATTTTGTATTTAAGATACTTTAGGTTCCAAAAAAAAAAACATTTAAAAAATCAAGCAAAGTCTTACTAGGTTTTCAATGGAAATTGGGAACTGAAGGACTACAATATTGCTTTGTTGTGAAATGTGGTGGTATTTTTGTTTTTGAGCCAGATTCACTTTTGTTGTCAATCCAAGTACCATTACCTTTGAATACTAGAATAGCAGTAGCCTCAAAGGAGTTTTGTATGTGTCTGAAATAGAACTTCTTCTACCATGCCTCAGGCACTTACTAGAATTATTTACAACTTATACAAAAGTATATGAAACTGGCACAAATTTACTCTAGCACATTTTAATAATGCTTTGCATTTGTATAACACGTTCAAGTCCTAAACACTTCACACATACAATGCCTTACATAAGTATTCATTCCCTTTCATTGATGTATAATTCAACTAAAATGAATTATATCATTTATAATTCAGCAGAATGAGACATAATTGGAAGGAGATGAATACTATTTCAAGGAGCTGTATGGGAGGACCCACTTCATCCATCCCTGAAATGCAGCCCATCTGGGTATTTATTTCTGTTCTAGTTGCCCCACAACAGATTAGGTGAAAAAGTGTAGCTTCACCAGTTGAAATAAGTTAAAGTTTGGGAAATTCACTGGTAGTTCAGACTCTTGGACACGCTCGAATTATTATAAAACATTGCACCTGTGGACACAAATTGAATGAAATGTTGGAATACATATATGGGTTTAATTATTGGACTGAGCCTATACGTAATGGGCTGTCTGTAATATAAAGATGTTGGTTTATTAATTGGAGATTGGTGGATCAAAAAGGATTTGTCTGTAAACCATCTTAAATTAGAAAAGGTGCGATATTGAGTAAGCATTGTTAGCTGTCCTGGAGAGTTCAATAAGTCTTCTAATATTGACGTATAAAAGGCTTGAGTGTAACAAAGGTTTGATTTGTATGTTAAAAAAGTCATAATGGGGTGGACTTGTGTATGTGCAGAGATTGCCTGAGCCATGCATAAATAAAAGGATCTTCCACAGTGGTGGAAATTAACACAGAAGAGTTATAAAGGCCTTGTAACGTCCTGTGAATCTGAATGACCGGCTACACTGAATTGGTCTAGATGATGATGATGATGATGATAATAATAATAATAATAATAATAATAATAATAATAATAATAATAATAGACTCTTAAAACCTAGAGACATTGTAGTCAATCTTGAAATTGAAAACCTACAGTGTTGTGAAATACTAAGTACACCCCCTTAAGGGTTTATGATCTCAGTTAAGAGGGTACTGTATGTACAATCAGGTGAAACAAAACATGTGCAAATTATTAGTTTATCATTAGGAAGTGATTCCACAACACGTGAATGAAAAACAAAACTTCTGAAACAATGATAGATGAGTCAAAAGTGGGGCTGTTTTGGCATAGTGCGAAATGTCATGTTTGGTGAAAACCAAATACTGCCTTGAACCAAAAGAATCTCATGCCATCAGACATGGTGGTGGGGTGATATTTTTGGCCTGCTTTGCCATATCAGGACCTGGACACTTTGCTATCATTGTGTCTACCTTGAATTTAACTCTATACCAGAGTATTCTAGATGAAAATGTGAGACCATTTGTCTGAGCTAAAACAGAACCAAAAGTGAATTGTGCAACAGGACAAAATACAAAACAAAATACAAAAGCAAATCCACCACAGAATGGTTCAAAAAAGAAATGTGGGATTTTGGAATGGTCAAATCAAAGTTCAAGCTTAAACCCTATAGAGATGCAGTTGCAGCTTTTGCTGTTGGAGCTCCGCTTCAGTGATCCTTCTCTATGTAATTCTTGGCCATTCTCTCTTCATTTTACCTTCTGGTGTTCAGCAGGCAGCTGTGCAATGAGCCCAAGCTTACTCCAACTACAATTTTGTTTTTTTTGGAGGTGTTCTGTGTTAAATATTACTGTAGATTGTGCCAAATGGTATTGCATTATTCTGCGAAGGCATGTTGTATGGAAGCTTGGTACTGTAGTTTATTTAAATCTTGCTCAGTTATTTTGCAGCATTCTGGGTTTTATAGTAATATAGTACCTTTGGTTTTATTTTAGTCTTTGTAGTAAATTTCCACATTTTCTATAACTTTGTGAAGGTTGTTAATACTTTTTTGATTCTAGTACTGTCTTTGCCGATTCCCCCCATCCTGGTAGATGATTCTTCCAAAGTGGGTAAAACTGTATGTTGAGTCAAGATAATGTTCACATACTGTAGCTTGATGGCTTGTTCATTACTAGCATTGGGTATCACTTTGGTCCTGTTACAGTTAATAGTCCTAGGTTTTGGCAGTAAGACGGCAATCTACAATAACCGTTTTTTGTTGTATGTAATGATGTGTACATGTGACAACAGCGCTATGTCATTTACATAATCCAAGTCCTCCTGTATTGAATACAAGGTCTATTGCATTCCTCCAGCTTGGTCTTCAATTGTGCACCACATGCCCCAATCAATGGCCAGATTGAAAAGTAGTGTAGTGATCAAAAATCCCTGTCTTACTCTGGACTTCATGGCGAAGCCTATATTAGTACAGTAGCTCCATCAGTATATGAAAAGGTTTGGTAAAACTGTTTAATTAGGTTGACTATGTGGATTGGCATGCCATATCTCCTTAATATAATCTTCCAAAGACTTTTGCGATTGATGTTGTCGAAAGACTTCTGAAAGTAAAGAAAATTTATGTAGAGTTGTACAGTAGATGCATCTTATTGCTCTGCTCTGTGTTTCTTGATCAGGGTGAATATCTGATCTGTACAGCTCAGATATGCCCTGAGTATTTTATCTATGATTGGGGACATTGGTTGTATTAATATTTAGCAAAGGTATATTTCCTTGTATCCAGTTGCTGGTAAAGAATGGAAAGAGAATTTTAGCAACAAATTCTGGATCAGCTTTTAAACAGCTGTATTCAGATGGTTGATACCTGGAGATTTTCAATTTTTACAGTAAGTGAAGATATTGCAGTGATCATTTCATTTCTGGATGGTGGATCAGTTTTAATACTGAGGTCTTCTGGAGCTTTATCATATCTATAATATCAGTGGGACAATCTCTGCTAATAACCATTCAAACAGAGCAATATGAAAATGTGTTAAATGCCTTTGAGGTGTATTTTAATAATGGCACTGGATTTGGCATGGAATGCATTAGTTCTGTTGATATAGAGGAGGAATGTACACTTAAATAATAGGTCACCTTGATTGATCAAAGTGTTATATTTGATGGAGGTCAATATTTCACAACAGCATAGGTTATTCTCATCGAGGCAGCTCCTAAATTAATCCATTTCTAACATAACAACTTATGAAGACGCTCCTAGTTTTTCAATGTACTGTACTGTAGGTTACGATAAGAATTCTAGAAAGAACAGATATGGTGTTTATTTACAGATTAGATATATTTGTTTCACCATATTTTGCAATGAAATTTGGAATCAATGCCAGTGTTTCTAAATAAGTTAACTCAGAGGAGAGGCTTTTTTTTTCTGTTATTCATGCTGTCCTATGCTATATTTTACTGAACTCCTACTAAATACTGTAGTGTTGAGCATTTGTTGTACAGAGCATGGGAAGCTATGAAGAGCACTATGAGTAAAGTGTCAAATTATTTTGTACTTTTAATTGCAAGCTTTAGTGCTTAAGAGTTTATTCTTTTTGAAGTTCTTTTATTGCCTTGGGATCTGGGCAGGAGTATAATGTTGTGGGAACTTGTGTTGAGACTATAGTACTTGGTCCTTTTACCAGAATATGCCCTGAAACAGTAATAAATCATTATATTTTGGACTTTTGACTGGTGTGTTATTTGAAAATAATAAAGGATGTGATGGAAGGTTTGCAATGTCAAAGTCTACATCCCCTGCGTTTTTCAGAAGGCCGTTTTCTAGTCTATGGCATTGATTCTTGTTCCCATGTCTCCAGGCCATTCTTTAGTTCCTATCAAGCAAATGAAGTCACACAAACATGCTATTCTTTGTAATTTTTTAATCAATGACAGCCCAGATTATAGACTTTTCTGTTCGGAGCATATTGCAATTTTAGACAAGAGAGTGGATCAAGTCACTAGCCCCAAGGACCTGCCTTCAGCTGTTTTAAATAAAGCAGTACAAATTTAATGGATGTGACCCAGAGGCACCATTATATTATTCATTCTGAATGTATAAACAAATAAACGTACCTTTAATCATGCACTTGCTGCTGAAATATTATGTGCCTGTAAGCTGATTAAAACCTTAATTCAGAACTGTGATTTTCTATGGAATATAAAATATTTGCTTTTGGAGAACATTATTCAGCATTACCCTTTTTGCGTTTTAAATGCATGTTAAAGGCCACTAATCGTATTTGAATTACATTTAAAAACATTAATATTGTTTTAAACTAAAAGGCAATAACCACTGACTGCTGTGATGGTTTTGATTAAGTCTTCAGTACTACAAATAGTCTTCAGAAGTATTCCCATTTACTGACTTTTATACAAATACTGAACATCTCCTCGCTCAAACCCTAATTGTAACATAATATACTTATTGACAAAAAAAAGTTTAATCATTGAAATACTAGATGTGGTCATTGCTGGGTTGGGAGACCTCTAAGGAAAACCAGACTATTGCGCTCCCATGTGGTACGTCAGATGACCCTGGAAATTTGTTGTGTGCACTGAAAAATTGGAACGCGTTTTCATATTTTCTATTTTAATACAATTATTTAATGTGTCAAATACGCAGCCTATGTACTACGATACAGCGCGTGTTAATATTTGAGTGGACACGAGCTACTATGAAATTCTATACCATAGTATAGGAATGCGTGCTACGAACGTAAGTGACTGGTTGTATTTAAAAAAAAGTTATCTTCAGCAAATAGAGAGGTAGGAGAATATGCGTGATTTTGAAACAATACCAATTTTGTAAGCACAGGAAAGCATAGAAATGTGTGCTACGAACGAGTGACCACTTGTATTTAAAAAAGTTATCTTCCGCAAATAGGGAGGTAGGAGAATGCTCATGGTTTTGGAACAAAAGATTGGCTATCTTGTGAGCACAGGAAAGCGTGATAGATAACATAAAAATATTTAAGGACTGTTGTAGGTTAATTTAGGAAAAATACACCGAGCTTCTCTGTGTTTCGCTCCCTTGCGCATGAAATAAAAACTTCTTTTAACTTCTGAGACGGATTCCTGAAATGGAAACAGATAAAAGTACAAGCTTGCGGTTTGCAAAAGCAGGTAAGCCACAAAGTAGAACTTCGCTTACCATTGGCAAAAGAGCTGATATGTACTACATAATGTGTGGATGTATGGAGAAAATGCTGCTAAACAGCTTGACCTGCTACCACCCACGAAAGACACAGTCACTCGTAGAATTATTGATATGGCAGATGATGTCAAAACTACGCTGACAGAGCGCGTTAAGATGAGCAGATGCTTTTCACTGCAGTTAGATGAGTCTGTAGATGTCGTTGATTTGGCCAATTTGCTTGTTTACGTTAGATACAAGTTTGAGGGTATATCCCATGAGGACTTTCTGTTCTGTAAGCCGCTACCAACAAGAACTACAGGAGAGCACATATTTCAGCTTTTGAATAAATCTATTGAAGAGAATGGCATCGACTGGATAAAATGGGTTGGAGGTTATACAGACGGTGCTAGAGCGATGACAAGCCGATGCAGCAGTGTACAGTAGTTGCATGAATTAGAGGTTGCTCCAGATATGAAGTGGACGCACTGCAGCATCCACCACGAGGCCTTGGCCGTCAAGAAATTGCCTGATGATTTAAAATCTGTTAGACTGTGCTGTGAATTGTATCAAGGCTTGACCAATTAATTCACATCTGCTTTGCTCCACTGTTGCTTTTTTATTGTGTATTCTTAATTGTTGTTGTTCATGTTGTCATTCTGTAAAGCGTTTTGAGAAGCCAACTTCAAAGGTGCTATATCAAATAAAATTTATTATTATTATAATATTTATTATATGTGTATGTGAGTGTGTGTGCACGCGTGCTCATGTTTGTCATTGAGATTTTCTGTAGTTCCTATGAGAAGATGACTTATAGGTGGTACTTGGATGCTTTGGTTTGATCAGGGGTGGTACTTGGTCCAAAACGTTTGAGAACCACTGGTCTAAGTGGTATAGATGGACCAGTAGGTGGCACTATTCCATATAAACTAGAATTTCCAAACCCATTGGTAACCAGGGACTGGTACGGGCTTCTGTGCTTCAGATAAAGACCAAGGTTCTGAGTCCTTGACCATGAAAGACCCATTTATACATGCACCTCACATTCACCTGTAATTCAATTGGTAAAGCAGTTTGTCACATCCCCACCTGATCTGCTATGAAATGGAGCTACAGGTATGTATTGGCTGCTGTCTATCTTCTAGGCAGGTGTTGCACTTCAGTCATGGATGAAATTAATGTTCTCCTGTATATACAGCAATTTGAGATAATATTATTAACATGAATATCACCAGATGTTCCCTTGAAAAGGGTCTGAAAAAAACGTGATTTCAGACATGCTATTTAAAAGAACACTACAAATCAAGCAGTGTGATAAAAGACAGAACAAATCAATATGTGTAAAACGTAGTGTAGTGATTAAAGTAGTTTTATCATACATTTATCAGAGTCATTGACTATGCCATGGCATATAGACTTTACAAAACAGCTATTGACTTATTTAAACAGAATATTTTTTAACACATTCATGTTTTAACATTTAAAATTCTGATTTGCATTTTTAATAAGGAATATGACTTGAGGAACCTTCAGCCGACCAGAATGAGCTCTTGGGAGTGCCACATGCTAGCCAGCCTTTGGAGACAACAAAACAAGGAGCTGGAGGAGGAAGGCAGATCTCCTGGTCTTAGTGCATCCCAGATTGACAATTGTAATGTTAGCATCAGCACCAGCAGCGATGACACAACCACATGGAATTCCTGTCAACCTCTGGTAAACCTCAAACTGAAGTCATCACTGCTAAAACTGTTCAAGACACAAGGTGTCAGTTTTTGAAGGGGTTAAGTACAAAGGTGTAGAATTATTCTTTCTTCCATATGTGAATGTTTCATTTTATGTTATCATAGAAGCTCAATGTCTTGAAAATTAATTCTCCAAATTAATGTGTGGTATCCCTGGCACTGGGAAATAGAAATATAGTCTGCCAGTTCTAATGAAAATAATCAACAAATATTACAAAGTGTATTACAAAAAAATGAAAGCTTTAATATGCATTTTATGGTGAAGCTCATACTGTACATTTTCCTGAATCACAAGAACAAAAGGGCTACTTTTTAACCTTCTGTTTCAAAGAAACAGATGAAGATTTTATTCTTGTTAGAACTTCTATAATCAAAATAATATGATATTTGAATTAAATCTATACTGCCATTGATTTGGAATATCATTACATTAATTGTATTAACAGTTTTATCATTTTCACAGATTCATCCATTTTCTAACCATTTCTTCCAGTTCAGGGTCATATGGAGCCAAAGCCTTTATTGGCAAGTAAAGAACACAAGACAGGCCACACCCTGGATGTGATACACAACACAAACACACACTCACACTCACATCTAAGGCCAATTTTCCCAGTAAGATCACTTTATTGGCCATAGACAACTTCTTGTATTAGGAATTTGTCTTTTTGCATACCCCAACTTGCTCTCCATGAGACACACAGACAGGGGGAGAAGCTTGGGGTCAGAGCGCAGGGTAAGCCATTTATACGGTGCCCCTGGAGCAGTTGGGGTTAAGGGCCTTGCTCAGGGGCCCACCGGAGTAGGAGTCCTCTGCCAGCCACTCGATATGAACCGACAACCTTCCAGCCACAGGTGCAGATCCTTAGGCACAGAACCACTGCACCTCCCCCAATTTTCCCAATAACCAATTAACCTAGATTTGTTTTTACTAATGGTACAGTACTGTACTTACTCTCTGACCAGAATGGCCTTATGACATGGAGATGTTTTAAGACAGTGCAATCAAACCTATGGTCCTTTCTAAACCTGAATGAAGAAATGCACCAAATGACTACCAAGTCAAGTGTAAGTACTGTTAGTGAATGGAGTTGTAAGGGGGAAAACATCAAAGAAACTCAATGACAATTATGTATTTTCAAAGTATGGCAACCTGTTCTGAATATATTGATAGGAATAGCAATTTAGAATGAAAATGCACTTTTTAGATGGATATTTTTTTCAGTATTGCGTCAATACAGATAATACTTTTGCGTCAATACAGATAATCCAGTGAATGTAAAACCAATGAACAATTGTTTGGAATCTATGTATTCCTAAGGGCTTACCAGTGTTAAACCAATAACCTACTGTATGCCTAAGTAGGAGAACAAGTGCAAGTTAATAAGCCACATTTCCTTGAAGTGAATAACTGGATTTACCAAAATCAACCTCTGCAGTTTTCAGTTTGCTGAACTTCAGTAAATTAGAGACTTTTCTGAACACTTTAATAGGAAGTGAGATGTAATGTTTCACTCATGATAGTAATGAGAGTTTGTGTAAGACTGTCAGCTACTGTAGTGAAATATAAGCATATTCTCATCTCTTTTTAAAAGTGTGTGGTATCCATCTGCCTGTACCTTTGTATTCAATGTACCAGTGTGTAATTCAGTGGGAAATCAGCCCTCATGTCAGCTAGCCTGTGCTGCGCAGTCAGCTCTGAAATGACAGCACTTTGGTTTAAAATTCAGAGAGATTCTCTCCAGACCACCAAAGCCTGGGCTTTAGGTGCTCCTGGTTAAATGCTTCACAGACTGTATCATTCAAGAAATACAAATGCTTGTCAGAATTACTTCAGCACTTAGCTGAAGGTGGTCAAAAGGCATGTGGCTGTTCTATGGTTATGCTTATCTGTGGATACTGCATTACAAATTAATTCAACACAGAAAAATACAGAAGTACATTTATCTAAAATACATTTTAGAAACCATTAAAATATAAATGTTTTGCTGAAGAATTAGAGAAGTTGTTTTTATTTCATAATTGTATCTTATGTGATCAATCCTTAAAATTGTTCAAAGAATTCACCATAGTGTATGTTGTCCTCATATGGACTTTTTGTCCTTCACATTCAGCCAGAAAATGGTCTGAGTGTAAAATGTAGCAACAGCACCACCATTAGACCAGCCATAAATAACCTCTTTTAATTAAAAACATTTCCTATAGTCCTATATGACTATAAAAAAATCACTCTTTAGTAAATTCATTATGTAATGAGGATACCATAGGATATTATAGAAATGTAATTTGGTTCCTCCCTTTCTCTGAATACTCTGAAGCATCATGATCCTATACCTATCCATATACCTAATCTCAAATCATACTCTTACACTAATTACTGGAAATAAGACTACAAGATATTTAGGTATTATTACTGTGTTATTTGCAGTACATTTAAATGCCATTGCCAATGTTATTCTATTCAAAACATTTGTAGATATTGCCTCATAAGGTGGGGGTATTTGCAAGAAACAATTTGCCAGAATAGAAAAATTTGCTTTGAAAGTTTACCTTAAATGGTTGTAGATTGGGAAAGCAGGTCAGACTCAGAAACAGACATATATTATATTACATGCAAAGTTGCATACTGTAAGCTTTCTTAACTATCTCAAAATATCATGTAGTTTTTTTTATTAAAAGCAAATATGTTTCAAGATTAATAAATCAGTATCTTAGTGTCGAAAATATTCCTTAAAACAATTGTGATATTAATCCAATAATTATTTTGATGTGATAGACTTAGATTAAATATGTTTCAAATGCAGCACACCAAATCCCCAAGTGCAAAAAATGATATGAATGAATCCGCAAATGGCTGCTTTAATGACAAAGAATCGGAATTCATAACTGCCTCAGCATGGGCATGTACAGTATCTGCTGTAAAGAGTGAATAGGACACTACAGTATGTCTTTTTTACAATGCAGCCGAAAATGTATTATCAGTCAAGCAGCAAGAAATGCAAACCTCACGATAACACCATGTTGTTAATCCATCTCAGTGTTATGAAGCGAAACCTGCTTAGTTTTACATTTACTGTAGCTATCCATATCATCCATACTTTATATTGTACATATATTTTTTCATGTTTAATTCGGTGCAAAATTATGCTTTGTGTGACAAAACATAAGCAATAAAGAATAAGAAAATATATATTTTTAAATTGTATATAATCTGTGGGTCTTTACAGTTACTATTTTATTTGGTGCAAATTTTTCAGTTATTTGTTTTATTTGTCTTTCACAGCCTGTCAATCAAGGACATCATTATCAGAAAGAAATGAATCCATTGTTACATTCTAATCCGCGGTAAGTGATCATCCTTCACTAATAACTGCCACTCAGGATGAATTTTCCATGAATTTGTTTTCCATTGTAATAATTTTAATAAACTATATTAATGCAATATGTTTAATAGTTTGGAAACATATAATTACCATAGTTTCTCAAATTGCTGTATATCATTGCAGTCTTTTCTCCCTTTAATTTTTCTCATATAATTTGCAGTAAGATTGTGCAATTACTGCTCTGTGAGAGTATTAAAACTGGAGAGACCAAAACAGCCATTGTGCACTAACAGAATTTTCTTTCCCCCATAAATGAGAAATTAGTCAATTTCAGAATCTGTTTATGTATATATAATACTTCTATGGGTGTACCATACATAGCCTGCAAGGCAAACAAGCAATTAGAAAGGAATTTGATTCATTTTGCAGATATTAGAACCAAAGAAATATTACTCCAAAGAAATATTCCAAATTCATGGTTGAATCACATTATCAGAACAGCCAAAAGGGTGAATTATATTCTGAGGTTGTGTAGAATTTTACAGTTTGAGTCCATATACTGTATGTGAGACAATAGTAGATGTTTCTGTTGAGAAAGACACAAGGTTGATCTATACTGTAAATTACAGGATATCTTATGACATGGTTTCTTGAATCTGAAGCTGGGTAAGAAGAATTCTTTGATTTATTATATCCATTGTTTCAAAGCCAATGTATATAAGCACTTGGGACTAAGCTCAGACTCCCAGTCCCAGATGCAGATTCTGCCTGTTTTGATGAGACCCTTTTTTAGCTTGACCTCCAGAGGCCCAGATATATCCCCTAAGTATTGGGACAAGATGTTGCCAGTGAGGTATGATAGCCATTTTACAAACTCCTCAAAAATAGCAGAGAGCAAGAGAGGCTGTTTGAAATTTATATCAAAGAGTTAGAGTTCTGACAAACCCTTTTTGGTCCAAGTGGCAGATGTAAAAAAAATCCAGGGGGATTTTCGACTATTCTTGTGGAGCTGAGCTATATTCATATTCAAGTAAACACTAAAGTTAACCAAAGTCCTCAGTTGGTTTCTTTACTAATCATATTGTTTTGCATCTATTTTTATAGGGATTGTTTTATAGTAATTTTCTAATAATTTTTCTAGTAATTGCTCAAACCATAGACTTGGTTCAGAGGCCTCCCAGGTGCATGGGTTATGTTACCAGCCGATTGTGACCGGGACTCCACAAGCAATGGTGTATAATTAGCTGATCAGCTCCAAAAGTAGAATGATAAAGTGAGATTAGTTGTCCATGGTTCTCTCAACTCTTGAGTGCACAGTGATCCCTGCAACCTCCTAGGTTGTGGTGTTGTCAGTGAGGGATATGCCTTTTCTACAATTAGTGCTCAGCTTTGGTATGGTTGTGTTGCCTGTAACATGTTAAGAAATGAGTGGCTTTGAGGTATCTGGATCAGACGAACCTGAGAAGGACTTCCTCAATCTCTCCCACGTGCAGTTGCAGGGAAGTCCATTCTATTTTTCTAAATAAAGAACTACTTGGTTTAAAAGTTTCTGAAGTTATTAGAACCTTTACTTTTTTACTGGACAAAGTAGATGCATACAGTATACTATGTAGTTGTGTGAGAATTATATCCAATATAAGGTGGTTAAAATCTGCTATTGTGAAATATGGGTGTTAGAGTTTTCAGTACATTATGGTTAAAATAGTCCCTGTATTTAGGTTTTTCTGAAAAGAGTGTAATATTAAGCCAGAAGATTAGTTTTTTCCACAAACATAGCGGAGAATATGAGAACTTGTTTTCACAGCCTCTTGATTTTAAATCAGATTTAGAAGCCTAAAAGAAATAACAAAAATATGAATATATGATATTGAATGTCCATGGGTATCCATGTGTAGCGGCGAGGCTTAATAATAAGGCAGAACTAAGTGTTTCTGAGCTTCCCAAATGAGGCCCCATTTCTCTGTTCATCCCTGTGGTAAAGCCACAGAGAAACCATTCATGCAAGATGTTTTCTTTTGATAAGGACAGCTCCCAAAGGGGGATGCACTTAGCTAAGCCTGGCTATCATGATCAATGTTCATCCATTGGCGCCTATCTGTCTAGGGAGTGCCAGTTGGACATCTGGACTACATTCCAAAGTGTCAGGAGTAAGCGACTCATATCTCACCTTGATCAACCAATCAGGGACTGGTAGGGCCGAGTAACCCACGTGGGACTCTGATGCCCATGGAACTTTCAGCCAAT